TGCAGGAAACCATATCATTGGTCCCTTTTTCATCGAGGGCAACTTGAAGAGCGATAATTATTTCACACTACTTCGAAATGATGTCATTCCAAGTTTAGCAAATTTATATCGTGATCCAGGAAAACCTCAAGTTCCAGTGAATACGATATGGTTTCGGCAGGATGGAGCATCACCACATTACCCAGTTAATGTCCGGCAATACCTTGATGCAACATTTCCCAATCGGTGGTTAAGGAAGCGAGGATCGATTGAATGGCCAGCGCGATCACCTGATGTTTCATCATCAGATTTCTTTTTATGGGAATATGTAAAGAGCAATGTGTACAAAATCAAACTTTCAGATTTGAATGGTTTGAACGAACGAATAACACTTGCGCTTAGGTCGGTCACGCCTGATATGTTACATATTGTTAAAATACAGTTTTATTTGAGATTAGGATGTTGATAAGACGTGTGCGGTGAACAATTTGTACATCTACTTCCTTATCATCCATAGTTCTTTTTCATATTCTATATTTTATTACGTTTTGCATTATATTTTAATTTTTGAGTGTATTTCATCAGATTTCGGTAACCTGTTTGAAAAAATCTGTTTAAAATCTGTTTGCCGTTAATCAGCTGTCGCCCCCATACGAAGGACAACTCTCAGAAGTTGAGAAACTTGTGCGAACTAAGGACTAACGTGGTTTTACATTATGACGTGTGATTCCTAACACGGTTGCAGAATCATTCCAGCTTCAACCAGATAAATTCTCTCGAGAAAAAGGTCTGGTCGAGCGGGAATCGAACCACGGCCTTCCGATCATGAGTCGGGCGAACTACCACCGCAGCCAATTCCACAACCACATGATTTTAATTTATTTTATTTTAATTGTTGCAAAAAACTTGAAAGCGAAAACATTTTTGAATACAGAATGAAGAGACCTTTCAAACGATATATCACAAGCCTATACTTCCTTTTAAAAAAGTTGGGGGTTTTACCTGTCATTCGGAGGGGGTTGAAGGTAGAGGTGGCATTTTTACATTGAAGGGTGACAAATAATAATTTACATTTCGCGAGTTTCGGGATTTTTTTATATATGTACAGTAACCGGAATAATGACTTTATTTCATTTGGCTTTGACACACTGTCTAGAAAATCAATTCAAATTAAGAAGTTTATTATAGTAGGAAATATGTTGAAACATAATGGATGACAAATTAACTTCTCGATTTTTGTTAGTATATAGTTTTTTCTTCGTAGATTTCCGCGCGGGGATATATGAAATATATGGCATATGTCTACAAGAAGTCAAGATTCATACAAAGTTTCGACAAGTAATTTTTGTTCGCAAAAACAAATGATACATATTCAGTTTCCCGTTACAAACGATAACACACCAGGTTAAACAACACAAGAGAACGTTCGGGATGTAAATCAACCCTGAAAAATTATCTGTAAATTGTTGAAATATCTGTATTTTCTTTTGATGAAACATCGTGCTGACAAAAACTCTGTTTTACACTGTGGCGTATGAGAACCAACCACCTGTGAGACGCACGACATTTTCATTTCAGAATTTATGTTTCAGTTTTTCCGCAATGAATATTCCATAGTAACCTTCCAGTGTTGTGAACATGTTTTCACATAGTGAGTCGATCGTAATTTCTCTAATGGATGGATTAATATCAGATTTTTCTTCGGTTGGTTCCTTCAACTTTTCCAATTTCTCAAAGGAATTTTAGGTTATTTCAAATATGTGGTTATATCTGACTGTTTATATGACGATTATATTTTCAAAACAAAAATATGATATCATCGTTATGGAGGCTTGAATGCAGCATTGAAGTCAGCAAAAAAAATATCATCGGAGCCCAATTAATCATTTGTTATTTTTCCGAAGTGGGTTTGTAAACGTGAAATGAAAGAAATGCTTTTTGTCAACTTCACCATCATTATACAAAAATGTGAGAAACCTAATGAAAAATGAAAGTATTTAACATCACTATGACCTCTTGTGTAGACTAAATACACAAATTACTTTCAGATACAAATTGAAACAAGCGAACCTATTTGAAACATCAATTCCAACATCAGAACATTAGACGGAAGAAAAAGTCCTCTCGATAGAACTACATTTTTATGAATCACATGAAAATCATTTTTTTCCTATTAAAACTGCACTATGAACATTCGTTATGGAATAGAAACAAATTTTATTCACAGTTACGCTGAACTACATAATTTTCGAAAGATTATCGATAGAAATTTTCGCATTGATGGAGCGGCTATCAATCCCCAGTTTCATCCAGAAATTCCAGGAGAAATACTTGTTTTTAACTCCTCATCAATACCTTATCGAATAACTTTGATAGAGGAAAATTCGCATTTTTTTGAAATGAAATTGCTGCTTTCAAAGTTTTTCAAAAAGGTTTTCTCGCGAAAAGTGATATCCCTTCATTAGAATTGGCTTAGATAGACTCACCTATGAATTCTACTTGACGTTTTTCGATGAACTCGGGAATGAGCTTAGTAACATGTTTAACATGCTACTCTCCGGTAAGACAATAACACCAAAAGAATTTTCAGAGGTAGTCATTATCCTTGTCCCAAAAGTAAAGAACGCAAAGGATTTGTCCTATTTTAGACCAATCACACTACTCAACACTGATTACAAGTTGTTTATAAAAATAATTGCATCTCGAATGAAAAATATAAAAAATATTATTGGACTGGAACGGGTAGGTGGTAACAATGAATCAATATTCAATAATTTGTTGTTAGTGCGGGACACAGTTTTATTTTTCGAAAAAGATAAACAACAAGCAGGTGCGATATTGTCACTGGATTTCAGTAGAGCTTTTGACAGGGTAAATCGTAAATACCTGTGGGCTGTAATGGGAGCAATGGGTTTTAATGGGAGCATAATTGAGGTGTTCAAAAATATATATAAGAGGGCTCGCTCAAAAATCTTACTGAATGGATATCTGTCAGATGGTTTCAACATACAAACTTCGATCCGACAAGGTTGTCCTATGTCAATGACACTGTTTAGTTCATCTATAGAACCTTTCATTAGAATAGCTGACTTCATTCTGCAGGGTATCAAAATTGGGGATAGTCTGAGGAAAATATCGGCGTATGCGGATGATATCACCGTATATATCAAAGACGAAAAAGATGAAGATACTATAAACAGAATAATCAGGATATATGAAAAAGGTGCAAATGCTAGAATAAATGTCCATAAATCCGAAATTTTACCTCTTGGGCGAATGACGGAGTTACAACAAACTGCCACAAGGAAAAGTAAAAAAAGAAACTAAAATTTTGGGAGTAATTATTTCAAACAGATTTCGATGTATGGTGAATGAAAATTGGGACACGGTCATTAAAAATATAAGGTTGATTTTACTCTTGAACTATATGAGAGATCTGTATTTAATTAGGAAAGTGTGGTTTGGGAATACATATGTTTTGTCTAAAGTATGGTATTTAGCACAGGTGATCCCTCTCCCAAAAAATAGCACTTCTCAAGGGAAATTACATATGGCAAGGGAGTTTATATAGGGTGACTAGAGATCATTTGTACCTGCCGTATAAAAAAAGGGGATTGAACTTGATCAATGTCGATAGGAAGGCATTAGCTTCATTTCTTAAAACACAAGCAAGATCATGGACAACTGTTGAAAATAATTTTTTTTACAAATCGGTGATAAATAAAATATTCGAAAATAATCATGATAGTATGCACCCTTACATAAAAGATATTAGTAAAAGTATTAATGATTTAGGTATTGTGTTCACCAATAACGAGTTGGAAACTTCTGAGGTTATATATAGACAGATAATGGGAAAGGTTTAATTCATCTGTAGACCAGTTGATCCATAGGACGTATCTAGACAATTTTTCTTCTTTGCATACCATTTTCATCTATCAGGACTATCATTATTACTAGGGTACTTCTTAAATCAACTCACAAATCTATCCGAAACAACCACTTTTCCAAATTACCAAAACTGCAATGCTATTCGCGTTTCACCAATCAAGTTGGCGTCTTCAGTCGTGCAGTTCTGGTGATTGGAAAAAATACTTGTTTTGAATTCATGCTGATTCGCGGAATTTCGTTCCGAAGATTCCAGCTTCGAACATGAGAGCCACGAAGTGGTCGACCTACAGTAATCCAGGACAAGAATTTGAGGTCCCTGGTGGAGACTGACAAATCACAAACGGTGCGTGGAATTGCGAAAGAACTAGATGTCAGTTCCTATGTAGTTTTTGTGGGTTTGAAACTTATTAGGAAGATCAAAAAGCCCGAAAAGTAGGTGCCCCACGAATTGAACGATCTACAGAAATTGTCACATTTCGAGGAACCAGAACGATCATTCGTGGGATCTGATCGTCACACGTGATGAAAAGTAGATATTTTACGACAACAGAAGATGTTCGGAACAGTGATTGGACACAAATGAGCCATCCAGAGACTCCCCAAAGGCGAAACCCAATCAAAAAACACCATGGTTACTGTATTGCGTCATCAGCAACCGCTACTAGTCAACAGAAGAGGTTTGATCCTGCTCCACGGTATCACCCGTCTAAAAATGAAACCAAATGAGCGTCGAAGTTCTGCTTCACCCACCATACTTCCCAGAACTTTCATCAACTGACTACCATCTTGTCAATCACTTCCATAACTTTCTCACCGGTAGAATCTTCGCCAATATGGACCTGCCTGGTCCATATTGCCTTCGTCGACTTTATCGAATCCAGATCATACAATTTTTATGTTGACGAAATTAGTTGACTTGTGTTACGTTGGCAAAAGTGCGCTGCTCATTTCGATTGCATTACATGAGTAGACACTGAGTTATTACAGTTTGAATTAAACTCATAAAAACGGACAGAACTTTTGAAATAACCTAATACCTATCATTATTACTGATCATCAATTCTTCGTAAAACGTTTCTTCATCGTTGGGTTCTAGATCGATAGTGTTTTTTTTCTCTGTTTGAACTTACCTGACTTTTCATTGGATCCGTATTGATCTGGCACATATATTGGCCTCTGTCTTCTTCCTGGACATTCTTTATATGAAGATTCCAGGTCGTATGATCATTGTGTGATACTGACACACGGGGATTGTGGGTGATGACATGATCGTGGATAGCTTGGATTGCTTTTGTATCTGCTTTTACCCAGCCTACCTGAAATTGAATGATGGCTTGAGTATACTGACAATAATGGTTGAAAACCTCATTTAAGATTTCATTGCAGGTCTACTGAACTTGATATTGAAATAACTACTGTTGAAAATAAAAAAGCGAATGTGCTTTATACCACACGATTGTGTGGTATGAAACTTCTTTAGGTCCATCTTTACATTATTGGGTACATCAGTAATTACTGTGGTTGATTGTAAGAATGAAAATCAGAAAGATATCTAGAGAAAACTACATCAACTTTTCCTCTACATATGAGATTATAACTTCATTCTAAATCTCAAACTATAAGTATAAAATCGAAAGAACTGGATAAGATGGGCAATAAATTATGACATATCATTGTGTCATGTTACTTCAAAGTACGGATTCTTTCTTGAATGAAGCAATTATCCTCAGCTATATTATTTTGAACGGACGGTAGTCGATTGGTTAGCTACTCAGTCAATCAACGAGTCAATCAATGGCTATGTGAACATTTTAATTTTTAATTTCCACTTATTATCTGCTTATGACAGAAATAACTGACCGATACTTGATGAATATTCATCATAACGTATTCAAAAACACACTTTGATTACAGATTTTTCGTTGAAAGTTTACCAAACCGCGACACATTATGATATCAGCAAGGTCATCTCTTGGAAATTTTAGGTTTTGATACTTTATTGATACTGTCAGATGATTTATTTATTTGCAACGGCTTTTCTGGAAAGAGCGTTTCTGGAATCTTCTATTTTCCATGATTCTGGCGCATAAATCAGGCTGAATTTCACTGATGTTGAGTTTGAGGCCCGCTATGGTTTGTGGATTATTCTCATATACCTGCAACTTGAAAAAATCCCATAAGAAGAAATCTAACGGGTCAAATTGCACGATCTCGGTGGTCAGTTCACGTCACCTCCACCGTGCCCTCGAATCGCTTATACAGAATATCCAATGTGGCATGAGCTATGTGGCATGTAGCGCCTTCCTGTTGACATGTCGTTGATGTCCAGATATTTCATTCAGGCCAAGAGAAGGTGATAGATAATCATCGACCTATAAGACTCGCCGTTGACAGTGAAGACCTAGCAACGTTCTCAGAAAAAAATGGACAGATGACGCCGCCAGCCCAAAATCCACACCAAGCAGTGACACCTCCGGGATGCATTCCATGCTCTTGGTTCTCATGTGGATTGGTATCGTCCCAAATTCGATAATTTTGTTTGTTCACGTACTCATTTATCCAGAAATGGGCTTCATTGCTGAATATGATTTTTCGATGAAAATTAGTGTCAGTTGCCAACTGCTTCACAGTTCAGCGAATACTCGTTATCCATGGTCGTTTACCTTCAGTTCCTGGGTCAGTTGAATTTTTTACGGGTGCATACCCAAAAATAGGCCAAACGCGCGATACGTTTCTCAACAGAATACCCATTTTGATAAAACAGTTTCATCATTTGCACGTGTTGTTGAATGCTATATCCATTTATGGTGATTTGGTGTGAAACAGACTGAATAGATGACAACTAATTTGACAGATATGTAGCCTCAACCAGATGGTCGTTATCAATAGTCAAAGTATGGAATTCCCTGTGACGAGACCCTAAATTTCATAATGCAGACTCAATTATTTCCCTTTCTCAACTTTTAACAGAACAATACAAAGGCTCTTGATGATTCTTCTCTTAGTCGATTGATGGTGGTTGGATTTCTGGTTCAGATACGACCACCATCAATTGACTAAGACAGCAATCATCAAAACTCTACTAGACCGTGCTTTCGGGCTCTGTAATACAAAGAAAGGTCTCGAAAAGGAAGTAGGCATCAAAAATGACCTTCAACGCAATGGTTACTCCAGAGTGATGGTAGAAGAGGCTTGAGCTAGAAGACAGCAGGAGCCCCACAAGAAAGAGAAGCCGCCACAACCAGTACTTGTACTTCCCTACATCAGAGGATTATCGAAAAGGATAAGATGGATTGGCTCCAAGTATAACATCAGGACCTGCTTCATATATGGAGAACGCGGCACTGTATTGAAATGTTGTTTTTTTTAGATCGAAAATATCGAAAATGAACAAGAAGCCATAGAAATATGTAGCTTATCCGTGATGAAAGTATATTTTAATATAGTGTGTAAATAATTGATATAACTTCGAAAAATAATGACTGATCAATCAGTCAATAACCTTAGTGACAAAACCAGTGACAGACAAAATACGTAATTATTTTCGTCCACTCAACAATTGCTTGGGTTGAATTGCTCTTTGGAATAGTTTGATTGATAAAGTCAGAAAAAAAATATTTCGGTATTCAGAATGAATTTCTTCACTTCTCTTTCAAGAACATGTAAGAACTGTTGATATTTTTGATTTTTTCTGTTTCAATTATATTCAACTCATGCTGCTCAAAAAAATATTGAAATCAAAATGATTCTGAAGACTGAATTAAGGAGGAATACAAACGTATGGAATATTAATATTTTGAAGTGAAATCTCAAAACATCCATCTCTCCCAACGTCTTTACACAGTAAGTTCTCGTGAATGCATACCGTAAACCACTACCTTACAGGCTAATACCACGCTGGGCATGGAAGTATATCTGAAAGATATTTATGCAAGACACCTTACAGTGGGTTAGTCTTGCAGATGTTTCTTGTTCATCCAGCAGCAAGACTACTGTGAAATCAATCGTATGCATTTCTCCTCGATACAATATTCAAACTCATTATGATTTCTGTATTGGAGCATGGGCTGAAAGTTACTTCTCGGCATGATCTACATATAATTATGAAGAGTTCAATTTGAACTTCTTCAAAAGAGGTCTACCCCTATGTCAATCATTATGCCGTTATCATAACTTCTTTGGTAAATATAAGTATTCAACTGATTATTATGTTTCTACTATGAATTAGAGCTGAAAGACTTTTTCCCAAGCAAAATTTTTTCACGGCATTTATTGAGTTCGTTTTTGTTTCACCCTGTGAATATTCAGATAGTCTTCTCCGTGGAAAATGATTCATAAAAGGTATTAGATAAATTTATTTTGTATTGTACAAGCTAGAAAAAACACCGAAGTTCATTTAACAATTCTAAAATTCCGTAATAGGTAGTTGGAATTCTCTAGTTCTCCGATTATTCTCTATCAAACGATAAAGACAGATGTCAACAACTGTTTGGTATTCACAAGATGTTCACGAGAACATCTGTTCAGACAATGTGCGGAATGATCCGACAGAAAACTAGGGGAACAAAGGCATATAACGTTTATCGAGATGCTGTAAAATGTGCTGTTTCTTATATTGAGACAAATATTTCAACCTATATATTCCAGAATATTCCTCCATTAGGGTTTGGGTGAACAATTCGAATGAAGAGGTTTTGGATTTTAAGTTCGAGTTGGTTCATTTGAAATGTCGACGAAGACCTTAATTTCATTGATGGTAGTTTCATACGATGGTGTTTGATACAGTGCGTGGCTAAAGCCAAATCAATTGTAATGTTTTTGTGTAAACACACAAAAACATTACAATTGAATCGAACTTCTCTACATTTCAGTGGACGCTGTTTAATTATTTCTACCGAGAAAAGTACAGGGCGTTCATAATCCTAGAACATGTCATGAAACGTATAATATAACAATATACACAAGAAGCATAACAGAACGACAACAAAAATGGTATTTTCAGTAAGTAGGGAAAAGACGAACAAATGAACAAAAAGCGGCAAAAAAGGTCTTTGACTTTCTAATTTTTCATCATAGAGCATAGAGATGGAAAAATAAAAAAATATTTGATATCATATTTTGATGAAAATTACCTTTAGTCAAAATCTCAGTATGTATTTCAAGAGCATCGGTCTAGTGAGGGTGCAATAGCAGAACTAATATCAACAATATCATCTGAAAATATTAACCGTAAAATCAATGTTTTCGACTTGAGACAGCTGTATTACCTAAAATCAGCATGAAATTACGTTCAACGAAAAATCGCGGACAAGTGACACGTCAGTGATGGTACACGTCAAGAAAAATATATTTTACCTTTCATGTCAAAATCTTTAGGACGAAGATATTATTCTTATATTGGACCAAAACTATACAACTCTTTTCCATATGAAATTACCAGCATTAACAGCTCTTTTCTATTCGAGAATAACCAATCACTTTCTATTGAAGAAACACCTGGAAGTTCAATCAAGTTCATCACCAAAGAAAAAAAATCAATAATTTTTCGAAATGGCTTCAACTAGTTATTGTACTATGTATATATCCTTATATATTATATGTGTGCGTCTGAATATTATATTGGACGTTCAGGTGTGTGAGCGAATGTGTAAAGTGTATATATGTTGTATGTGTACAGAAATTTGATGTGTTAAAATTTGGAAATTGTTCAGACTTTTGTCAGATTGTTATTTATTGTGTATTTATATTTTTGTTTCACCACTTCGAAACTTGTAGACATTCATTCTACATGGTTAAGATTGGATCATTTGATCTGAAATCGAAGAAAATGGTTCATCAAACTGAATTATCAATCTTAAGGAAACTCTGCACAGTTTGCATTTGGATTGCAACAATTTATTTTTGGCTTGAGCAATTTAATAACAGATAAGAGGATTAAACATTATAGAAGTAACATTGTGTGATGACTCATACATATGACAGACAGAAATAAAGTAGGGAAAGCGGTACATCACTTTACTCGTCGGGGATTCCACTTGGCCTTACTCGACCTTTCTACTATTTTCGTTTCAAGACCTTCAACAGGGATTCCATTTGACGTTTCTCGAGTTTTCTACTACTTCCTCTTCATAAAACTTGTCGGGGATTCCACTTGGTCTTCTCAACTTCAATACACTTTTTTGAAGCTTTAGTAAAGGTGATGACGGGGAAACCTATTCTTTTCGAAATGAATTGAGGAAAGCTTTTAGTCCCTACGTTTGCTTCAAAAATAGTGATTCATTCAGCTTGTTGCCTACCGTTAGCAAAAATCAATAAG